TATACTAAATATACTAAAATATACTAAATAACTATACTAATAAAATAAATACAAATAAGAATAAAATAAAATAAAATCATAAGAAATTATGAAAGTGGAGGAAACCCATGGTAACAGCACCTTCCTTTGAAATAGGTTTGTGGAGAAGGATTACTATATAGAAGTAAGTCTTTTTTATTATTATTATAAAAAAACTTACTTATTTTTAACAATACACTTACCTTTACTCCTTTAAATTGGATTCGTGAGTTTGTGACAGACCTTTATTCCTTTAAATCAAGTTCATGAAGTCTTAAAACATATTTTTGAAGACTTTTAATTCTTTAATCGTGTTCATGTGTTTGTGGAGGATCTTTATTTCTTTAAAATTGAGTTTGTGGAGATCTTTACTTCTTTAAATTGGGTTCATGGGGATCTTTGCTTCTCTAAATTGGTTATTCTTAACACCTTCCTTCGAAATAGGTTCATGAAGAGAGTTATAAATAAAAGTAAGTTTTTTTTTATTTTTTTTTATTATAATATTAAAAAGTTATTCTTAATACTTTTAATAATATAAAAAATCTTTTTTTATATAAAAAAGATGTCACGTTCCTTATTATAATAGTATCAGAAAATTTTCGGGACGTAAATTTCTGTAATACAAACGGGACCCATGGAAATTTACGTCCAAAAATTCAATTTTTTTGACTTTGGTCGCAATTTACGAGACAGGAAGCGATTTTCTACTAAGGTGTTTCTATGACAGATCGAAAGCCCTGGTTCTTGGCTACAAGATGATATGTAAATTATTCCTGTAGCATCGATATCCGCGGAGATATTCACGTTTAAATTTTGAACGTCCATGAAAAATTCGGCGTAAATTTTCCGTAAATTTCCGTGGGTCCCGTTTGTGTTACGGAAATTTACGCCTCGAAAAATTTCCTGATGTAATTTGGATCAATAAAACGTTTCACATATTTATAATTATTTTTTTAAATTTGTTGTTTCTTGACGTTGGGCATATATAAAATTTTATTATAGGGAGTAGAACAAAAGTAATAAAAAATATTAATTTTTTATAATTATTTTATAATTATTATAATAATCAATTTTTTAAATAAATATTAAATAAATTAATAAATAATATATTATATTATATAAATTAATAAAAATTTAATATTTAAATTGATAATTTCGAATTTTGATTAAAAACTATATTAGAGATAACACAAATATTTTTTTACACGTTTCTTTTTTTTTTTCTCTTATTTTACATTTTATTTATTTTACATCCTATTAATGTCTTCTGATATTTTTAATAATGAATATGTGTCAGATTTTGAAGATTCAAAACTTGATAACACTCAAGAAACTTTAATTAATAATAACCTTGAGAACTTAAATTTAGAAGAAACAAGTGATATCATTGATATTCCTATAAATGAATCTGTAGATGAACCAACTTTTACTTTAGAAGATAATCAACAAAAAGGAAAAACTTCTTCTTCAGTCTGGAAATTTATGTATAAAAAATACAATGATGAAGGAAAATTTATAGCAATAGTTTGTAATTTGTGTAAAAAGGAATATGAAACAAAAACTTCAACAAGTCCACTTAAAGAACATTTAATTAAAGAGCATAAGCATAATGTCATTATTAAACAACAAACAAAATTGAATTTTATTAAAAAACCATATGACAAAGATGATGTTATTAGAATAAAAGATTACAATGATGCTCTTCTTAATTTAGTTATTGGATATCAACTACCTTTTGCTATTGTAAATAATAAATGGTTTGATGAATTTTGCAAAACAATGGATTTAAGATTTACATTACCTTTTTGACAATATTTACAAAAACAGATTCTTGATAATTTTGAAAGTAGACGTATAGTAGTTACAAGTGAACTTGAAAAACTTGAATCTAAAGTATCACTTACTGCAGATATTTGGACTTCTATTTCAAATCAAGTATATCTTGGAGTTACTATTTATTTTATTGATGAAAATTGGAAGATGCAACATTTTCTTTTAGATTTAATTCATTTTGAAAAAGTCATATAGGTGTTAAAACAAAGGAAAAACTTTTACAATTATTAAATGAAATGAATCTTAATGAAAAAATTCTTGGATTAATTACAGATAATGATTCTAAAATAATATTATATGATAATCTTTTAACAAATGAATTTGCTAATTATGAATTCAAACATTATAGATGTGCTACATATGTCTTGAATATTGCAATTAATCATGGAATAGAATTAAAAATAGTAATTATTGACAAAGTTAAAGTATTTGTTAACAAAATATGTTATTTAACAAATCTTTGTGATTCACTTCGTAATTATTGTAAATTAATTAAAAAAAATTATCTCAAACCTGAAATAGATATTTGTACTTGTTGGAATTCTATATTTTTAATGTTAGAAAAATTTAATAAAATGCATGAAGAATTAGATTTTTTGGTATGCAAAAATAAAAATTTAATTATTAATTATCTTGAAAAGGAGGAATAGATTCAAGTTCAATCTATAATTACTTTATTAGAACCAATGTATAAAGCAACTAAAATTTTTTCATCAAGTTCATATCCAACAATTGGAGATGTGAGGTTAACTTTTGCTAGTATTCTTCAGCATATTAATTTGTATAAAAATAATCATATATTAGAAGAATATATGATGGCAGATTCTATTAAACACAAACTTAAAGAGTATTGAAAAATTTTAGATGAATTTATAACCATTTCAACTGTTTTAAATTCATGTTCAAAATTGTTTACATTTTTTTCTGAAGATCAAAAAAATTCAGTAA